CCCTGGCGCAATGCCAGTGTCCCCATGAAAATACACCCTCCCCAAATGAGTGCTGTGAGATGCGATCAGGAACAGAGCAGAGCATGCTCAAACTTAGAAACAAAGGAAAAACTTTATTAACCCTCAACTACAATAAAAGACACACACTGAATTCAGGATGAAAACTTTCCAAAACATTCCTCCTCCCTCCACCCACTTTTCAACAAAACACAATGAGATACAACTTGGACCCTCAGTCAAGTTACCACCCTTCAGATAATCAATACTCAGTCCATCAAGGGAGACAGGAGTATCTCTTGCACCATAGACCCCCCAGGAAACACAATTGCAACCTTTTGTGTTTCCGTGTCACACATGGCACTGCCCGGAGAAAATCTCTCCTCTCTATGTCACAGTTCTCTCACCACCGTGCATGGACAGAGATTGCTCATAGGTCTCCTTGAAGGATGCTTCGCCAAGGACCAAAAGAACAATAGTTTCTCATTTTCGGGACAACAGTCCCCCCCATCTTCTCCTCCCCTGGGGTCAAGGGTCTTGAGGAGAGAGATCTTCTTCTCTGAAGACAGAGGGCATCACCACACCCTCCTCAACTCTTCTCTGTTCACTCCATTCCTGCACTCACTTGGCTCAAGTCATTGCATCCCCCTAAAAATGCAGTCTTTGTTGCAGGAGACATTGGTTCAGTCTGTGGCTAACAGGAAAAGTCCAGCCAAGACCACTCCATCATCTCCTCCCGCCTAGAATTTCTTCTTTCAACATCTCAAGTCCCAGACTGTCTCTTTTTCAAATCGAGGAGGAGTAGTGTTATGCAAAGCTTTCTTTTTCCCAGGAAAGGGTTAAAAGGTTAAAAGAGTTGACTCCCAGGACTCCAACTCTCTAGCACCTTCCCCCCGCCCCACTTCACTTTCTCCTCTGTACTGCCAGCACAGTCTGTGTGTCTCTCTCCCTCTGTGGGGGAACAAAGACATCTCAGATTTTCTCCACCCTTCTGTCCACAGGGGCCAAGCCGGTTCCAGTCCCTTCAGCCCTGGCCTACCTCCCCAGGCTGCACGTCTCCCCTCTGGCACCCAGCCCGTGGCTGGGCAGGGGAGAGCCTGCACTTCCCACTCACTGGAATCAAAGAGAGCCAGTTCCCCGGGCGTTCTCTGCTGTTAACCCTCTGTGTTCTCAGAGGCGTGTCCAGCCTTCAGTGGTCACTCCAAGTGCCAATGTCCAAACCCGACTGCTGATTGGTTTGACCCCAGCTTCCTGAGAAAATTCACTTCCATGTCAAACCATGACACCTATCTATCCACAATCTGTTCTATTTCAGGTTCTTTGGATCTTGTTTGTTCCCACCTCCCCAGGGCTGCAGGGCTGAAAACCCAATCTTGGATTTCCCATCAGTGCAGTTATGAGTCCCTCATTTGGCTCCACCTTTGTGTGCTGGAACTAGCAACAATAGAGTAATGGGTGTAGTAAATTTTGTGTTTGGTAATTAAGAGAAAGCAATGTCTCAGGAGAAGAGACATCTCATTTGGGGTCAGAAAGGGGAAACAAAACCACTGGACTTCCCAGGAGATGGAAACAGACTGATAATTGAATAGCCAAAACCAAAGGAGCCCAGATTATTCCTGATAATCATTCTCTGGGAAAAATCTGCATCCACTTCACAGAATCTCAGAATCACTGAGGCTGGAAAAGCCTTCCAGCATCACTGAGTCCAGCCTGTGACTGATCCCCACCTTGTCACCCACACCAGAGCGATGAATGCCATGTCCAGTCATTCCTTGGACACCTCCAGGGATGGGAACTCACCAGTCACTTTCTGTCCTACCAGAACAACTTCTAAGACATTTAAACCTTTTTTTTAACACCTAAAATCAAAAGCTGAAATAGCACAAGTTGATTTGGTTTAAAGTGAGATATTCCAAACCAAATCACTGGGGACTTCCCAGTTTGACTCTGTAAGGAATCCACCATGGAGAAAAGTAAAAATCCCATTCCTACATTGTCAGCAAAGGAGGCAGATTTGCTCCTGAGATTTCTATATCTCTCTCACAGTCCCAGGTGATTCATCCCCAGAACTCTGCTCGTGCTCCAGCTATTTGATTTTTTTGTAGATTGGAGGCAACATGATGATGACCATGATCACCAGGATTCATCCTCCAACTTCTCTGCTGCCAGAACCAAAATCTCTGCACTCCCCAGATTCTGAGATTGTTAAAGCTAAGCCTAAGGCACAAACATCCTCCCATCGTGTCCCTCTCCTGATGTGCTCCACCACCATCATCTCCACAGAGGCCGAAGAGGGTTCTTGTTCCTGCAAATCTGATCCAGTTTTTGATGTTGCCATTGATTCAAAGGCTGGATGAGTTTGGTTTTCCCTTTTCTGCTGCTCCTAAGCTAAAAGGTTTGAAAAACTCCTCATTCAGTGCTAAAGTGCAGAGGTTCAGCATCTTTATCTTATTCCAGGTCAGGAGAGAAGGAAGGGGCAAAGAGGCCAGGGAGTGTGGAACAGTTAAGAAAATGTTCCTTATCTTGGATTCCTTATCTAGGCTGGATGGAAGAAATGTCTCTTGAGCTTGCCTGGTTTTGTTTGGCTTGTGATGGTTGGTGTCAGCTTTTGACGTAAAAAAACATTTTGGTAACTCTTACACACAGGGAAAAATTAGCAAGTGGAAAAGCTTAAATGACAGCATTGGCTCAGAGACCATTTCCTTGTTCCATTCATTCTGCCAGGGTTAATTACCAGCTCAACTATTTACTGGGATGGGTGTTCTTCCCGCTGTGGCTGCAGTTGTGCTGCTGTTCCTGCCTTGTGCTGCAGGGACACGCTGTGGCCAGCACTTCTGAGAGATGATTTTCTGGGAGATGGTTTTCTGGGAGATGGTTTTCTGGGAGATTACTTTCTTTCTGTTCCTGTCAGAGTCCCACCTCTTCCTCCTCTTCCTATATTCCGGTCCTGGTGCAATCAGTGCAGAGAGATGATGCAGGAGAAGAAGAATCCCACTGAAGGATCTTAAAGCCCATCCCATTGCAGGTTGCTCCAAGACTTGTCCAAACTGGCCTTGGAACTTCCAGGGATGGGGCAGCCACAGCTTCTCTCAGCAACCTGTGCCAGGCCCAACCCTCACTTTTCTGTCTATAAATTAAGCTCAGGTTGGGTGGGTTGGTGCTGTGAATCTCTCCTGTTTTAAAGACAAATTTATGGCAGAATTGTCCCACCCTGCTCAGGATAATTGAACTGGAAGATGCTTTTAGGAAGGGTGGGGAGGGGCCTGATGCAGGAGGAGAGCCTTCCCTCTCCTCATGCTGCTCTTCTGGCAGCACAGGTTTGGTTTTTTGGAGGAGGAACCCTCTGACTGATCCATGTGTCCCCTGGATGATGAAAGGGACCTGGAGTGTGCCCTCAGCCTGGATGGCTTTGCTTCTTCCCATTCTCTTCTTCATCTCCTCAGCTATGGTAGGCTTTGGTTTGGTGTCCTGAGTTTGGTTGGGATGACGTTAATTTTATTAAATTAGTCAACCAAACCCAAGACATTAAATAGAATAAAATTCCTGGAATGGTATTCTAGTTTTTTTTCTTGCTAGAAAAACTTCATGGAGACGTTGCTCCAGTATCAACATGTTTTCTTTGATTATTTTTAATTGACAGAAATTCCAGTTCCCCAAGTTATAATGAGTGTTTGAACTTGTTTCTATTGAAAAGAAAGAGATAAATAGTCAAAATACTCCTTAAGACTAAAAAGGAAATAAAAATAATAAAGTCAAAACAATCCCCAAGATTAAAACACAAAATAAATATTGGGAAGGCAGGTAGCAATGCCTTGCCAGGAGAGAATTTTGAGCTTATTTTACAGCTTTAATGAATGGTTTGAAAACCATTTGAGGTGAACCTTTTTCCTTTGCTCCTGAGATAAAATTTTTAAGAGCTGTAGCCAGAGAGAGAAAAATAAATGCAGCCTTCATTTCCCTCTTTGGTCTGCTAATATAGCTCAGAATATCTGGGAGTTGACTCCAGGAGGAGGAGGAGGAGGAGGAAAGGAGCTGCCCTTGTTTTGGGTGAGGCAGGATCATCTCCCTTTCTTCTCTCCATTATTCAGGCTAGTAAAAGTTAATTATTCCTCTGAAATTAGGCAGTCACCTCCCACTTCCTCAGTCAGGAATGGGAAGAGTCACCCTTGGTAATGCTCCGAATATTTCAGGCTTCTGTCTGAGCTCAGCTCAAGGCCCACAGGCTCGAGTCCTCTCTCACCTGGGGCTGCCTCGGTGTCTGACTTTAATGGTCGGGGGGAAAGCTCTGAAAATACTGGGGCTTGCAAGACCCCTGCCCCTCTAAGCTGGGAATGCCTTGCAAAGCCAGCTCCTGTTTGTCCAGAGCATAAAGCAGAGAAGGTAGGGGAAGAACAATGGGTCAGGTCAACCAGGTGAGGACCAAACGCCAGCTCCAAAGCAGGGCTTCCTCCTCCTCCTCTTCCTCAACAAACCATCTTTTTAGCAAAACCCAACAGAAAGGGACCTCAGCACAAAGCCAAGACGAATAATGCCAGGTATGACTTGGGAAGGGATGGCCAGGCCTCCTCACAGACACAAGGCCCAGATTTGGAGCTGCAGAGTTTCCTGAACACATGACCAAGGCTCAGTGACATCCAGACACCACACGACAAATCCATGATGTTCACACAATTAATGGAAGCTGACTGATGTGAGAGACTCCTGTTTCCAAATTACACTCGCAAGTGGTGAATGAAGCAAGCTCAGATGAATAATTTCCCACTGAGGTGGGCTCCATCCGATCTACCTGGAGCCAATTAAAAATGAAACTTCTGATCTGGGATTCCTCGGAGAGAGGGCACAGGTGGAGTACAAGTGTCCACCTCACTCTACCAGGGTCTGACACGCAGCTGGTCAAAGCTGGATGAAGCATTTTCCACTCTCAACACAGAAATTACATCCCCTGCTGTTCACCAAAGGTGCTGATCTCCTTCCCCACCTCACCCTTTAATTGTCCCCTTTTTTCAGGTTGCAATTAGAATGTTGCCCTGTGAGAGTGAAGAGATTACTGGGGCTGCGTGGCCTGTAATTCTTCCTGGACTGGAGACAGGAAGAAATTCCCTGTGATAATAACGTCTGCAAGTCCGGCGGGGAGAGGCAGGGAGGATTCCTGGGAACTTGCAGGCGCCAGGCATGGGACACCCATGTTTGGGTTAATCCCCCTGCCCGGGGCTGCCTCCAGAGCCAGGATGGATCCCATTGGTGCAGACGGCCTCAAGCTTGTTGCATTTTATGCTAAATTATGCACCTGTGTTTGGCCAGATGAATCACCCTGTGGAAATGTTGTTTTTTCCATGAAATGAACCCCCAGCAACCCTGATGAGCTCAACATGGGAGACTCCAAAACATGGGGCAAAGTTAATCCCACCTCATAATGGCCAAGAGATCTCAGTGCCTTTAAGTTACACAGTTCAAATAACACTTTGTCATCACCAAAGCCACTAAAACCAAGTTTTTGTGTCTGAAACATGTCTCTGGTCCCACAACCCTGATCACCAGACCTATGAGCCTAGAAGGGCAGTGCTGAATTCATCTTCATTCAACTGCTCTGACTTGAAATGATCAAACAAATACATTGTTTGAAGGTTGCAACAGGCTGGAAAACACTATCAATGTATTGCTTAGGATTATTTTGGAGGTTTCTAGAAATCTTTGACATTAATTGTTAATTGGTCTATAAAATGTCTTATGTGATATGGTATGAGCAGATAAATAAAACACTGTAACCCCAGTGACACCTGAGCCCCATCATGTCCCAGACTGCCCACAGAGAATCCAAAAGTCTCTTTGGTTCTTATTCTCCCTGGAGTATTTTTTCACCTATTTTGTAGTTTCTTTAAATACCATCTATGGAAAAATAGAGAGACAAAAGATGTCCTTTCAAAGCAGTTTATTGAGGACACAGTGAGAAGCTGGGAAGTTTGAGCAGTCAGTGGGAACACCTCCATTCATACAAGGTGTTAACATGGACAATTTATGCATCAATAACTTCCCTTGGCATTTCGGGGGGGATGGAACAGGAAAGAGGGTGATTTCTTCTAAAAATCAGCATGCCTTGAGCCAGCCACCCCAACATGCAGAAGCAAACAAAAGTACTATGTGTTCATCCACGAGCCAATTCCACACACACAAAAAAAGCTGATGGCTGTGAAGTAAGCAGCTGGTGCTTTGAAAATTGCCTTGTTTCATATTTAAGCATAAATATGCAGTGCAGGATATTCTTGGACCAAAAAAAGACAGGATAAAAATAGACACAGTCTGCTCTTTGCAGCATCTCCTGGGAAAGTTAAGCAGTTAAATCCTCACTCTCTTTTCTGAAATGCTTTGGGAGGAGCTGGAAGAAAAAAGAAGGCTCTTGGAGCAGAGAATATTGTTAATTAATCTACTTGTTATGGGAAAAGACAGGGAAGCAGCGCAACAAACAAACCCTTAAAGCTGTGATAACCTAAAGTTAGGATTCAGAAATCACACTGTGCTGAGCACCTGCAGGAGAAGATTCTAGAGGGGTCTTTAGGCTTGGGGATTCTGAAAACACAGCTCAGGGGGATAGATCTGGGGCTAATAAATGTGGGAATGGGTTTGGTGATAAGTGTTGCTACTAATGGGCAGAGGACTCACCCTGCATTGTGTCGGCACGGGGCTGGTGCGTCTGAGCACCGCTGTCCTATGGGACCACACAGGGGTCTCTGACAACCCCAAAATTCCCCACCACACCATTGTTGCACCCCACAACCTCAGGGCTGCTGGACACGACGACAGGGGGCCCTGCCAGCTGCCGGATGACGCAGCCCTGGTTCCCAAAGCTGAGCACTTGTCCAGCCTGGCAGGGCCCCATCCTGGCATTCAGGCCCCCGCTTCCAGCGCTGACCACGGTGCGGGCTGGGTATCCCCCGCTGCGGGAGCTGAAGCCTCCGGCTTTGCAACTGACCCCTCCAGCCTGGCAAAAAACCTCTGGGATGCACTGCTTGGCCACGGAGCTAAGGACTCTCTTGGGGTGGATCCCAGCGCTCCGGGAGCTGAATCCGCCGGTCTGGGAGCTGTGTCGCCCGGCCCGCCTGCCCAGGGAGCCGTAGCCACACACAGCCCCATTGGCCATCATCCCGCAGTCATCAGGGATGTTGTAGCCACTGCTGACCACAGCTGCAACAGAGCCCATGGGGGTCAGCAGTTAGGGAGGAAAATGATGACTTTCACAAGGCACTCTGTTTTGTGAGTGACAGAACCAACCAAACCTGATTTCCTCAGATTCATCCAATGTGTCTGAGCCCCTGCTCCTTCCTACTCCTCCCCTGTGTCCCAACACATCCCCTCGTGGGTCCTCCCCCTTCCCATGTTACTGGAGCCTCACAGGTTCAGTACGTATCCCATGGTCCCCAGGACATCTCCCTGTTGCCTCCAAGGGTAGAAAAGGGTCTTGAGTTTGACCTTCTCCCCTCACTCCAAAAGCTGGGCTTTTTTTAATTCAAAGGTATTTGAGATTTCTGGGGCTAAACTTTCCAGAACTGGAAAAGGAAGGCAGAGGGACCTGGGCAGACAAATAATGCTGCTCCCAAAGGTATCTGTCCTAAAACAAGAAATCTTCATTGCTGAAAAGGTGCAGTTACTTACACACGCTCACAGGGTTCCCCACACATATCCTGTGGGAGAAAAGAGAAACACACGTTACTCACAACTTCCAGCCACAATCCAGACCACTTCGTTTTTTGTTGCAGCACGCCTCACTATCCCTAGGACAGAAACTGTTTTTGCTGGCACCCATGTGGCCTTCATGGCCTCCAGGCACCTCTCCAGGTCCAGTTTCTATGAGCCTGGGGAGATCTTGGAGCTGTAGAATTCACTTGGGAGCCTCAGATACACAGGAGGGAAATGTGTCACCAACCTGCTCTCTTCACCCTCCAGAAGAGTCTTGTAGGTGGCAATCTCAATGTCCAGGGCCAGCTTGACATTGAGCAGCTCCTGATAGTCCCGCAGCATGCAGGCCAGCTCGTCCTTGGCCTTCTGCAGAGCATTCTGCAGCTCAATGTGCTTTTCTCGAGCATCTTTGAGGGCACAATCTCCACGCTGCTCAACATCACAAATGGAGGTTTGCAGGCAGGAGACCTGTCAGGGGAGGAAACAATGTAGGTGTCTGCAAAACTTATCTTAGTTTTTGGACACTCTGGGTTTGGATAAATCCACTCTTCCAATTGCAAACAGGGAAAACCCACCAGTCTCCCATCCCTCTCCACCCACTTTTCACTTTCCAGCCAGGGCCTAGAGAAGATGTCAAGTTTTCTAAAGATCAGTGTATCACCTTGCCTTGTGTCCGAGCTGTCCTACTTCTCTGGAAATGTCTCCTACCTGTTTCTTGACGCTCTCCAGCTCACACTGCAGCTTCTGGATCATCCGGGTCAGCTCTGAAATCTCACACTTGTTGCTCTGCAGGTCATGGCAGTATTTCCCTCTCTTATCCTGCAGCTCCTGAAACTGGAACCAAGAAATAGGACAATCATCACTTCTGGCCTGTGACATTGCCAGGCACAGATCCAGATGGCCTCTTACTCACCCTGGTCTGGTAGAAAGCATCGACTTCTTCTTTGCTTTTCTGGGCGATCTCCTGGTACCAGCACTCGACGTTCTTGATGATGCTTTCCATGTCCAGGTCTCGGTTGTTGTCCATCTTGACAATGACTGAGGTGTCGCAGAGCTGGCGATCAACCTGGGCCCTTTCCTGTGGGGTGGGAAGGGCTTTGTCAGCTCTTTTCACCTCTCAGGCTCTGCAGGGAGGGAAGGACTGGGACACAGAGTGGCTGAGGGATAGAAGAAGTCAAGAAATGTCCCTCAGGATGGCTTAGCCAAAAATCCTGCAGCAGGATGAGTTGCCACCTGTGACTGCTGACCTACGTGCTGACCTGCAGCAATTCTGTCCACATCAAGGGCAAGGAATTGGAGTGACTTAGCCCTTGGTATCCTCTCATCTCCTGCTGCCTGAGTGATTTAATGACAGGACTGAGCTGGGAGTTGCTTCAGCTCTAATCAGGCAGCTGCAATCCAGAGGAACGAGATGGACTCATCTTTTCTCTGGGGTAGAGTTAGGACACAACCAATTCCTACCTGGAGCTGCATGAAGGAAGGGGGAACCACCCTATCTCTAGCATAATCATGTTAATTTTATATCAACCTTGTACTTCCAATGCTTGTAGTTATTCAGGGCTTTGTATGAGACACATCCCAGAGGAGTTTCAAGTAGAAATTTGGAGCACCTGAAGGATTAGACAGGACCACCGAAGTTCCAGGATGTACCAGAGGAACTCACCTCCTCAAACACACATTTCAGAAGCTCCAGCTGCCTCCTTAACAGATCCACCTTCACCTCCAGCTCTTCCTTGTTCAAGAAGATGCAATCTGCATCCTGCAAGAGGAGAGACACACACATTCCAACCCAAACCTGGCTGCAAATGTTGAAGAAATGCACCGAGGCAACAACAAGACAGAAATGTGTCTCAACAAGATTTCAAGAGAAAAAAAAGGTGTGAGAGGGTGAGTCAGGATATCCTGGTGCCTCCTGAAGGAAAACGAAACCATTCCAACATGACTTACAGGAATTAGTTGATTTATCATTTAGGATGCAGCTACAAACCCACAACTGACTAATGAGTATTTAAACACAATTTTTTAATATTCTTCAAATGATTCCTGCTTTTCTGATGTCCAAGAATAAAGGATGTGGAGAGACAGACAGAAATAACCTGGTGTTCTGGTGTGACCTGTCCTTCTCTGTCCCCCTCCCACATGTCAGAAATGTTTTTGAGGCAAAAAAACTGGTGCTGTAGTGCTGATGATGGAAACTTTGAGGAGACATTATTTTTGCTTTGTACTTGGCTCTTTTCCCAACCCTGTGCCTCTTTCTAAGTCTCCCTCCAACTCGTCATAACGCTTTTCTGGGTTTTTGTTAATAATTAAATATTTCAGCCAAGTTTTGACCCAAAAAAACCTACTACAGGTATAATGATTCATGTTTGAACTTCTCACCTTTTTGAGTGCCACAAATTCATTCTCCACAGTTGTGCGCCTGTTGATTTCCTCTTCATACCTGTTGGGAAATGAGGAAAAAAGGGCTGAGGAACGAAAAATGCTCAGACACTCAGACATCAACCATCAGGTACAAATGATAATAACTTCAGGCATAAACGACAATTACCACCAGGTAAAAATGACAACTCTTTCTTGCTGGGACTGCCACCGGGCACTGCTAAATCAATGTCTGGAGCCCAGCATTAAATCATCCCAAGATCAGATTCTTCATGAGCAACATTATTACCAATGCAAAGAGCTTGCCAGTGAGACAGAAGAATGTGGCACTCCCAGAGGGGACATGCCACAAGTCTAGGAGAAGTTGCCCGAGATGAACCAGAAAAGCAAAATGCCACCAGTTAGAGGAGCCCAGAAGGTCCTTACTTGCACTTGAACTCCTCCACCAGCTGGCTTGTGGCACATTCTTCACTGCCCAATTTCTGCTTTTCACACAGCAAACAGTCCAGGCGCTTCCGCAGGTCACAGATGTAATTCTCGAAGTACAGTTCCAGGTTTTTCCCCTTTTTTGGCAGCACATATTGCTGCAGGAGGCCCCACTTGGTCTCCAGCACTTTGTTCTGCTGTTCCAGGAATCGGACCTGAAGGCAAAAGATAGCAATTCTTCAAGTAAAGAGGTGAAGGCAGGGACTCAACACCTGTTTAACTCTCTGTGCTTAACCACAGGTGCAGTAATGGGATTTTCAGGAAGTGAGAGAAAATACAGCACCATGACCTGAAAGTTATCTGCCCTTATTAAGAAGTCTTTATGCCACGAGTCTGAATTATTTCAATATCTAGAATTCAGACATGTAAATTATTTAGAAATCTAAATGTCATGTCTACATTATTTAGAAATCAAAGAGTCCCATGTCTACATAATTTAGAAATCTAGGAGCCTGGTGTCTGAATCTGCATTTCTTAACAAGTATTAGGAACAAAACTGCAAATGGTGCCTCTGATGTATTTTAGGATAAAATCAAGTTCCCAGATAGTGCAACTGCTTTGTCTCTGTTTATTCTACAAAGGGATCCTTGGGTGACAGATCAGGTTTCATCTCCAACCTTCATATATCTGGATCAAGATTAACCAGCTTTGTCTTCAGGAAAGATTTTGGAACTGTCGCTGTATTTAAAGTCAAACAGAGGAGGGAATCATTGGAATTATTTAACACATTATATTCACAGAAAGATGAACCTGTCAGGGCTGTAACTTCAACCTAAGCTGCAGAAAGAAATCAAATTTGGACTGAGACTGTCCAAGAGGAAACAAGTGCGATAAAGTCCAGTGCAACCATGGCCATAATTCAAAAGCCATGGAATGCCAGAACAGGGACAGGGCTGAAATGAGCCCCATTAGAAAAAATCTCAGTCTGGACCAATGTGCTCTTAAAATTATTATTAGTTATCAAAAATTCTTAGAATTATCTTAAAATTCTCAGTGGAAAGTTGGAGCCCTGTGTGGACCCAGCTCAGCGATTCATGGCAGAGCTGGACTGGGGCTTTGGAGGAGGTGGCACAAATGGGTTTGGTCAGGTTTTGTTTTCCCTGAGGAAGAGCAATTCTGGAGCAGGTCTGGACTCACCTTGTCAATGAAACAGGCAAACTGCGTGTTGAGGGTCTTGATCTGCTCCTTCTCCTGGCAGCGTATCTCGTGTTCCAGCGGGTCCACCCCGACGCAGAGGGGCTTCAGCAGCCGCTCGTCGATGCAGATCCCTTGGATGCCGTCAGCCTTGCGCTCAGGGTACCCCCGCACGATGCTGTATCCCCGGGGGCCACACAGGCCAATCCTTCCTCCTCCAGCGTTCCCATAGCCCATGCCTCCGAATCCCATCTCCCCAAAGCAGCTGGTGGAGCAGCCCCCGTTGACATAGGAGATCCTCCTGCTCCCGCCCAGGTTACAAACGCTCCTGCTGCTGTAGGCGCCGCACCGCACAGGCTGGCTGGCGGATGCGGCGTAGCTGCGACCGCAGATCTCCGAGGCTGAGCTGAAGCCTCTTCGTCCCAGGACAGATCTCACCGTCGGTGCCTGCCTGCTCATTGTGGCTTATTTGAAGGTGGAATAGCAAAGTTATGGGGCTGCTCTGGTGCAGAATAGGAACAGGGATCCCACTGGAGAGACGTGGGGATGCTGTCCCTTATATATATTTTGGGAAGCTAGCCTTGATAGGATCAGGACGGTAATTTAAGTACTTAAGGGTTTGGTTTGCCTGGCAGCAATAAATGCTCCTCAAAATGCAAACCAGCCCAGCAAATAGTAACTACTGAGGAAATAAAAAGGAATCTAAAAGTGCTCTGTTTGCAAGTTGCCTTCGAATACATTACAGTTTGAAGTGCTCCCCTAACTTAGTGCTAATTATAGTTTAGGAACATTTTTGAAGGAACTCTTTGTGATTTGTTTGCAGTGTGTTGTTTGGGGTTTTGTGTCTCATAGAGCTGTGTGTGATGGGATGTTTTGCGGACTTGCACTTTGTGGGGGTAATTTCACAATTTTGGGTGCGGAAAAGTAACTCAAAGGAAAAATAAAAGAAGAACATCATCTGTAGAACAACAAATGCTGTGGAAGTTGTGTCATAATGGATCATTTCTCTGTCTCAAACACCAGTATATTCACAGAGCTTAAGGTCTGGATTTGTATGCAAGGACTCAAAATATTTCCCAGTTACATGCACAGAGTCACAGAATTCTGGGAATTATGGGAATGTGAAGAAGCCTGGGAATCTACAGCATTTCACAATGGCCTTCCCTGAAACACCAGTGAAGTAGATCAGATTTCATCCAGGATCTGTGATGTATTTCTGTTTGCCCACAGATGTATGTTCTGTGCCATCAGTGACCATTTTTTCTAGAATTACGTTGTGAGTTCTTATTTGTGACAATTAATTCTTTGCCTTTTACTATTCTGGAGCTTCTCACAGGGCTGGGTGTCAGAGCCCTTTCAGACTTGCCTCCTGGAAGTCTCTATGGGGAACAAAAAAGGAACAACAGTCTGTTCCAGCTTGGTGAGATCCGCCCCATTCACCAAGTGACGGCTGAATTTGGGTGACTTTGCCAGACATGTCCTTGAGACCTGAGGAGACAGCTCCAAGGCAAGGAGTCCCTGGGGCCACGTTCAGGGGAATGGGGGTAATTTGCTCTCCGCAGGGGCTGGGCTTCTGCACCAATAGAGGAAGTCTTAGTGAGTGGATTAGGCTGGACACTGGGGAAGGCTCTGACTCACACCAGGGGGATGAATCCCTCTCTCTCCTAATCACCAGCCCAAGGAGGTGAGGCAGGAAACCTCTCCAGGCCTTCTCCAAACTGGCAGTTGGAAAGTCAAAACAAAAGAGCTCTTTCAGCTCTTCATGGAAGAAGTGTTTGAGAGAAAAAAAGGACATAGTTCAAACAAGTGAACACCCTCAGTCCTTCCTTTCGAAAGGAGCAATGCTTGGAGGAATCTCCATATTATACAATGGGATGGCAGCTGGAGACACTCAGGTTCTATACTCCCTCACCCTCATTGACCTCCTCCAAAAACATTTTCCAAGAGTCATGATGACAAAAATTATGCCAAACCTCCAAACACACAACTTTCTAATAGCAAGTGGTTGAAAAGAAGATGCACATGGAAACCGCGGGATGTGACTGCATCTCCAGGATCCCCAAAGCCATTAATTGAAGCTGTAATTGCAACTTCTGTGAGTTTGAGGGGCTGGTGGTATTAAATTACTTGTGTAAACTGCTACTTTTGCTCTATCCAAAAGGGATAATTCCAGATATTTACAACATTCAGATGACACCTTTGTTTGTAGTAGTTCAGGCTTACAGTGTAAACTGGGCTGCCAGCACAGCTGGAAATATCAGATTAAACAAATATGAGAGGCTTCAAAAGCTGCAGTTTGGAACTTCCACAGTCCTTGAAGTTCTAAACAGATTTATCAGAAGCAAAATGCAGATTTGACTCCAAAGAAGAGCAGTTGTTCAGAACCCTGTGGAGGAAACCAGCCTCATCATCAGACTGAAGATGTGCCCCATTCCTGCTCTGCACCCCATTATCCCAGTCGGATGTGTGGGAGACACTTGGAATGCAGCATAGGCTGCAATTAAACATCTGTGAAACAGCTGTGCTGCAGCAGCCCCAGTTCCCAAACTCGTGAGAGCCACTGGGTTCCTTAGAGGAAAGAGATTTTGGGTAAAGTTGCTCAGCATTGGGTAAAATTTGTGTATTAGCCAAATTCCTGTTGCTTCTTCTGGATCCCAGTGGGACGACAGCTTCATTTAATGTCTTTTAGGTCTTTCCAAGGAATAATAAGTGGTGCATAAGACCTCAAGAATAACCAATTTGTTTTTGTGAATATGGACATGGGAAAGGGGAGAGCACTCAGTAGAAAAACCTGCAGCTTTTTGACTCAAAAGGGAAAAAAAAAAAAAAAAAGGATGAAGTGAGGAAATCAAAAAGGAAAATATTTTGATGAGGGATTGGATAAGTCATTTTGACAACTTGCAATCGCTTCCTTTGTCAGCATTTCACTCCCTGAATGTGCTGCTGAAAAAGGAATTAATTAGAGGAGTGGTGGCATTCACTAATTTGTTTGTTGCCTCTGGAGATGAATCCAGATGAGCTCTCAGAAGGTGTTTTATGCGATAGTCTCAAAGGGCTCTGTTATTATCCTTAGCCATTGAGAGTTCCTCACAGTCAGGTTGGACAATGGCAGGAATCTGCCTGTGCCACAGACATTTGATACATGTAAGATTGGGTGGGAACATGGACTTTTACAGTTCCTTGGACTGGGCAGATTCTTGACCAAATTATTAATAACATGTTGGAGGATTGATTTGATTAGTGCAGCCTCTTGTATCCTAAAGCCAAAGTTATCCAAGGCAATTCAGTCTGGTCACATGTTTTTGCCTCTCATTAACAATCCAAGTGAGAAGTCAAAGCTGGGATTTTCAAGGGATATTCCTCATAAAATTCATCAAACACTGGGCCTCGGTGCACTTTCCTCTCTCCTTCAGCCATTAACCTGGCCACGGATTCTAATTTCCTCTTTCAGACTCCCTCTCTGGCTCATGGAAAAAGATCTGGCATCTCCAGACAGTGATTCATCAACTCCCAAAATAGGCAGTGGAGGCAGGTGGGAGGAATCCACCTCTGTAGCTCCTTCCCTCTGTTCTTCCTGGAGACCAGAGGCCGTCTAGACAACCAGACACCAGCCCCGGCGCCTGCTTGGGGAGGTTGAGGGAGGTGAAATGAGTCCCACCCTTTGGGCACTAAATTTCTTCAGCACCTTTGAAGTCCTAATGAGAGCCCAAACATCCCACGCCCCTGGATCCACTCGGCTCGTGGTGCCACATCGCCCGATCCTGAAATTGGAGGCTCCCAGCAAAGCAAAGGCTTGATTTGATCTTCCTCCTGTTGTGATCTTCCTCTTGTAGCTTTCTTCCTCCCACAGTGGAAATGAAGGTGAGGTGTATGGGAATCCTGGATCAGGATGGTGTCCCACTGCCCAGAACAGCAAAAGTGTTAGAAAAGGTGAGAAAATATCTCAGTTGTTAAAAGGTTTCAGAAATGTCCCTGTAAATCCACAAGATAGCTGATCCTTTCCAGCTGAAGCAGTTTTCCAGCTAAAGAGATACCCCGAGCCATCCCAGGGAAGGAACTGCCTGTGGAAAGTGGGAAGTGTATTCAGCCAGGAAAAAGGCTCTTCCTATGCCAAAAGTCTAATGCCCAATAAGGATTGGGTTGGATTGGTGCAGCTTTGGGAGGTGCTGCAGAATGTCTGATGTTCAGAGGCCAGGTTTAAGTTCAACACTTGCCAAATCAGTTTATCACATCTTGAAATTGTGATAGGGAAGTTTGGAGGCAAAGAAATAACCCTAATTCCATGTCATTGCCCTGATTTATTCTTCTCTTGCATAAAAAGTGAGAGGATGATCTGTTTACAATGGGAAACCTTTGGCGATCAGAACCCTCCTAATGAATATTTATACCTGTTTGATTGCTCTTTTCTTGTCAAATCTTTCTTGTGGTTTCCTTCATTAATGATTGAGCCTGACGTATTTTGTGCTTCTCATATTTGATTGGGAAATAACTTCTTATCACATGAAAGTGTGGGGGAAGAGGAAGCTCTTCCAGTTCTGAATCCAAATAATTTTGGTGAGGAAAGACCTTTATTCTGGATTTTGCCTTTGGTAAAATGTATCTGCCCAACCTCAGGTTCATTTCTTTGTTATGCTCTTTCCTCAGTTTAACCACAAAACACTTTAATATTTCTTTTTATTATTAATTTTATGTTGATTTATGTTACTTATTTCTGGTTCTTTAATCTGCTCAACTGTACAATGAAAAAAAAAGATCCCCATTTGATCTTTTTGAAAGCCTGAATCATACTCATAGGACCTCGAAAACTTTGTTGAAAAACCAACCAAGCACATTACAGGGCTTTTTTCCCCATAATAACCTCTTCCAGCAGATTTTGAAGAGCTGTAAAAAAATGCATTTTGTCATCTCATGTCTGCAACAGACGGAATATAAAAACACAAAGGCTAAGATTATTTCATTCTGAATTTTAGAACACCTATTGAATCCAGGTAGGAGTCAAATTTGGTGCAAATCATCTTAAAAGACCTTAAATTTACACCAACCAAAGACTGGATCTACATTATTGGATCCATATTGCCCCAGCCCTGGAAGTCTCTAAGGTCAGGCTGGAAGGGGCTTGGAGCGACCTGGTCTAGTGGAAGTTGTCCCTCCCCATGGCAGGGTGTGGAACTGGATGGCCTTTAAGGTTCCTCCCATCCCAAACCATTCCATGATTCCATGATTCTCTCCAGACTGCTCTGCCTCCTCTCTATTAATTAAGACTTCTAATCATTAGATATGTCTTGTGCAATTGATGAATGGGCATTTCTGTACTTTTGGTAAACACCTAAAAGCAAATGGTAACATGTTGGCTCTCCATTAATTTTACTGGAAAAGGAGCAAAAGGTTTAAAGCCACCCAGGAGAAATGAGGGTGGTGTAATTTATCCGTGTCCAAGGAGCACAAGTGGAGTAATTAAT